GCGCTAAAGCGTGCAACATTCCATCATTTCATCACATATCAGATAATATCACCCGATAACGATTACATAACACATGCACACATTCTTCTCAACGCCTGCCCTCTGTGGTCCCATTTTAACCAACCATTCACTTGTTTCTTCCTTCAGTTGATTTCGTTCGCTTTCATTAGGGTATTACATTTGGAATGTAATATTAAGGGTAGTAGATATTCATGATTGATTAACTGATTACTAATTTTCGGGTACCATTTTTTTTCAAATTGCAAATATTCACCTATCTACCTTACGACTCATATGCATAGTATATAAAACACTATCATGTAACGTTTCCTTAACGGAACGCACTCGTAAGCGATTCAGTTCTACATGATAAATAATAATGTTTCGTTATCAAATCAAATCAAACCTACATACAACATACGACAAGATGCAAGTGTCCGTTGTGCAGCGATCAGTAAGAGCAGCAGCAGCTGTTTCTTCGTCACGATTATTATATGGGCATTCCTTTGAACAGATACATATGCAGTATCCATCCACCTACTGTCATTTATTTGAAGCTGGCCAAAACACCTCGTCTATTCTCAGCTGAAAACTACTATTGCTGGGTTTTAGTCCTATTAAACTGTTTAATTGCAACATGATGGATCAGAGGATGTTTACACATTCAATCAGATTTTGATACGGACAAATCATAGCAAAATTACGACATCAATTATGACTGCAATAGCATTAATTGTTCGTTTTACTACTACAAAATTATTTGAAAAACAAAACAGCAAGTTGAGGGAAGAAAAAAAGAGAATACAGTAGTGTAAGAAAATGGTGGACAATTTTTTGTTTTGTGAATGAAAAATGAAAAAGAGATTGGCGTGTGTGTGGGTTATTGAATGAAAAGTTGATGCGATTTCATAAATATGATCGTAAAAACAATCATTCGTTATAAATTTCACGATGAATAATGAAAAAGTTGAGCGGGAAATGAGGCGCACAACAGAAAGAATGGAGGAAAACGAAATACATTAGATGAATGAGACAAATGAATGATTTTTTATTGGTTCATCATCAGATGTTTTGAATTGTTTTTTGACGACAACAAGCGTGGTAATGCCGAGTTGCATGCTGACATGTAACTACAATAAGGTCTTGTCATCTCATCAAATCGCAATGAAGACGGCTGCCTGCTACTGCTACTGCTATATCAGCAACTGGCTCAACAACTGTCTAAATTCAGCGATTATTCATTTATTCTTCTTCATTACCCATCCAAGTGACTGCTCTTCGAATAGCATACCACCTAAAGCATTACTAGCTCTTAGATATTGCCAATCTATCGTCAACGAACCAAGTCAACCAACACACACCTCATATCTTTCATTCCATCATAATCATCTACAACGCCATCTACAGCAGCCATTTCTGTATGATTGACTCAGTCTCTGAAGCAAATCAGATCACTTTCAGTTTGAATACGTCTCAAAATCGAGCATTTACATAATTGCTTGCAATACTTCATTTTTATTCATCACTTTTCCTAGTGATTAAAATACAATAAGATCAAATGAGCGTATAGCGCCAAAAATTAATGAACGAATTGATACGGAGTGGTTTGTTGCGTTTCTGTTAGAATATCCACATGAATATCGTGGCAACTTCACGGCTGCTGAAACTGGCAGTAATCTTCTATGTACATTGATGCAGGAAACCGAATCGAAAGAAAATTATCTTTCAACAGATGAGGAGAAATATTTCTTGGAGAGGAATGAATATTCAAGGGATGAAGAGGAGTGATATCCCTCCTCCCTGCACAAACACTGTCCAACAACCATTACTTATCGCCGCTCTATCTGGGAGATGGGTAGCAAGGAAGGTACTCCTTTATGAAAGTAGTCACGATGGGCGGGCGGGATGCGGGATCTCTTAAAACTAAATCACCATCACAAAATTCTTAAGTTATGTTAAGTTGCCTCCTCAGAGTTGTTGCCTCGTCAAAGCTCCACCTCCTCTTCTTGCATTCAGCGCATCCTTATCTGTTTCTCTTCTCTCATTCGCTAACACTTCAACTGTCTGCCGAATTTACTCAGTGCTATAAACGTTGCTGTCTTTGATGTCGATCAGCACCGCACACTACTACCGTAATCTGCAACTACTACGCCTAACTCATCTCCAGTAATATTTTATTGCTATTGCTAACTGCAATTGCACAACATGTCTTTTCATTTCGAATAGCAAAAATCGGCACAGCCCAATGACCACTGACTGTCCTCTCGCCGACATTTCTTAACGATGCACCAACTAAAACCTGCTGCTGCTGCTGCTGCTATTCAAAAAATAAAAACACTGAAATTTAAACAAAAAACAACCAAACAATTAACAGTAAATTGATCACATATTTTCTCAGCTACTATACATGTCTCAGTCCATCGTAACGAAACAATCTCAAGTTGTTTGATAAAATCAGTAAGAAGAGTCAGTTTGTTGATTGTTCACATAAAGTTTGCTATTCGTTTCTGACTTGAAAACTGCTTACTTGGTCGGTCACTTTTTCAAATACATAATAATACTTCACAGCTGGACACTAATTGATACGTGCGAACTGACCAACCAAACATTTAATAACAACAATTCAATTATGAAATTCATTTTCTGTTTGATGAATATTTCAAAATGAAGGCACTTGATGCTCATTTCAGACAAGGAATTCATTTATCATATGACATTCATTTTATTACCAAATTCGACTCACTCGATTCTCGAATTGGGAATGTTTGCAGAAGTTGATTGATTAAGTGCATTATAAATAGATAATTAGCACAAGGCAAATCATAGCCTCGGCAACATCAATCATATTGGTACACCACTCGAACGGAGAGTTTCGCTTGAAACCGGGAAGTGCTGTACCAATGTCTCTAAGTGCATTACCTCCGTAAAAGAGTTGACAAAAAGGGTGAAAACGAGTTGTTGCTAAAGGAAGGTGGTGATGAACAATTACTTGCGAGACGATGGATATGTTACGTGAGTAAGTATGCAGTAACCTTTCGACCTGGTTCAACTACGCTTAGTGAATGAAGTGATAAGTAGCCGCTGAGTAACCTAACTGTGGGATGTAATTAAGTGTTAACCGTATCATTAACTATTCGCATCAACCTCCTAACTGTTGACCTTTATTTAAACACCAGAAGCAGTATTGTTAATTCAATACACGTTATGCTACCTTTCGAAATGTTAATGCTTCTGAATGCGAGAATCGTTTCTGCAAAACTGACTTTAAATTAGCTTCACATTTTTGCAGCACTCCATTCCTTTCCTCTCTATTCTTATGAATTTTCTTTTTTCACTCAAAAAAATGACTCCTCAAATGACTGAATTAAAATCCGAAGTAGACCTTCTCAAGGAGCACCCAAAACTGACATCGATATTTTTCTAGAATCATTATAAAGGAAAGTGCCGATCGACATCTTACAGAATAATCAAGGTCAAAACGATAGGTAATGCGACAGAATCAACTTATGCACCACATCTCATGAACGCTTCAATCAATCCGAGCTCTTGAGAAGGACAGATCAAATGCGACCGCATGCTCCATTTATCCCCTAAATCCATCTTGAACCTTCCCACTCCAACAAATTCTTTCATTCCTCATCTACCAAAATTGAAACTGCATAAGCATATTCAATTGCCACATATCATTATGAAAAATAGTGCATACGGAACAACAATATGCGTTGAATTACTATGCGTATCACTTAATTTAAACCAGCATAAATCAAACTGATGCAGTAACCAAACAAAATGCTCATCACATCTTCACGCCATCTAAAACTGTTCACTCCAAACTGTTAATTTTCTAACAAAATTTACAGTTCTTTTCGAAGCTTCCATCCAAAAGTGCGCTACAATGAAAATTTTCGTCACTAAGTGCTGATGTAGCAAAACTTCAATCGACAACTAAATAAATAAATAAACAAACCTTCTTTCTTCAAGAACGATCCTCCAGAAATAACAATTCTCAAGTCAAACTGTCGTCTGTCAACACCACAAATTATTTTCAAAATCCAAAGTTATCCTGTTTCTCAATGTAGAAACCGAAAACGACGTAAATGAATGAATGAATAATTGTTTCAAATGCAGGTGATGATGCATTGGTAATTTTTATAATATCACTACAACTAAGCGCAATCATTACTTTCTGTCATTGCTCACTTCCATGATATGCAACAAAAAAAGAAATTCTTCGTTATGTCAGTTGATAATGCTCGCAGTGTGTTATTCCGATTTTGGTGCGGCTATCAGTCACTCACTACCAAACAAAATTCATAATAAATACTCAAAGAGCAACATTACAAAAGTGATCCTAGCAGGTGATCAGCAATTCTAATGAGAATTTCAAAGTGAGAAGCATTATGCAATACTAGAGGATAAAGGGATAAGATTGGACATGTGTGAGCGAAGGAATGGATGAAAGGCTTATTGCGATGCTACAAGATGAAATGATTAACAAGAGCATGAGATAAGCAAGCACATGTTTTAATGCTGCTCCGAAACATTATTATTATTATTATTATGTTATTATTGTACTCAGTTACACTCATACGAAATATTATGCTTATACAGGGATGGAATACAACTCGTTGAAAGTGAGTGTATCTAACAAGAACAACACAATGCAAAATGAATGAACACGCTTGCACTTGTTCATTCGTTCCATAATAGGTGGATTATTTGTAGATTATTTGATGATAAACAGATAAATTTCACCATGTTTCGTCAGTTTCTCAAGGTGTAAACATTGAAAAATAATTTGATTCGAAACCGAATTCTATCTGAATAATGAATACGTATTATATATGCTCATTTGCAATTCATATTCAGAAATAATAGCTGCTGTAAGAGAACATGTTGATAAGAAAAATGAGAGGGAGTGCGCATAATTAGCGATATAGGAGTGAAGAAGATGTAAAATGATGAATGTGATCTAGGAAGTAGTAGTACGTATATGTATTTTAAATGGATCGGAAATGTTGGCTGATTTGGAGATGAGAACGTTTCGCGATGGATTGATTCACCGATGTATTCGGTGATGATCGAATTGATTGCACCAGATGGATGGGATCTGCAAGGATCATCTCGTAGAAAGTTCGAATCTGATGATGGATGCATGAAGAAAACGTGCCTTCTTTGAAAACGGGTTTGTTGCTGTCGTCCAGATGGTGAGCGATATCAACAGCAACATTCAAGATAAGACGACGACGACGACGACGACCATCTACAGCCAACCCCAACAACTCATCATCTTCAACTTTCATGTACCTAATCTCTTGAACCGCTCCCTGCCGTCTTTTATCATTCTTCCCTAACAATCCACCTTCGTACATGTTTGCCAATGAGCATGCGCATGCAATCCAATCGAATTTATGGCAAAGAGAAACTTTAATTTTAAAATACATCAAATCACTGACTATATCAATTTATCAACGAAATATGTTAATGATTGTAAGAAAGAAACAACACTACTGCAAACTGAAACCGTACTCATTTCCATAAAAATAAGTCTGTTAGTTGTATTTCTTGCTTATTTCTTGCTCTATTCAGGACGAAAATCACTACTGATCATCACAAACACGATCAATTGCTCTTAATTAGAAAATAGCTTTTAAGAACTAACTTTGAAAATAATCAAATGATTCATAATCAAACAAATATCACACAACGATTCATTCAATTCATCTATCTGAAGAATTTTATCGATGATCACTAACTATCCATTCCCATTGCCTTATTTATGGAAATATGGTAAAAGCAGCATATTTCGAGCAGCAGCAACAACTTGAGTCGCAAGCAAAAGCAATTCAGTGAAAGCAGCACGCACCTTTGAATAGATAATGAAAAAAAGTGTCGTATGATGGGCTGTTTTCTAAAAAACGGGTTCTTATGAGCGGTATGGTTGGTCAGCAGCATCAGCGTGATGGTGATGATGATGCGGCATCGACGCACATAAAATTTAGAGATCGACATATGAGATTAGATATAATAAATACAAGATGTTCTGTTTCTGATATAAGACATACCAACACACACACACACATCTATCTGTACATGTTTATATCAATCATGGAATGTGTTTGAAGTAGATCCATCCATTCAAACATGTGCATAAGTTCGACAAACATGACTCGTCCTATTATGATATCAACAGTATCATCTTATGACGATGTTGCATCACCATTCCAATCTTCTGTAACATTCTGTTGCCAGAGGCTAATATAAACACTCTCGACCATCTATTATTTACTCATGCAAATAGTGTGCACTACAAGCGCTTATTATACACCACATCTACAAACTAGCATCGTGTCCACTCTGTCATTTTTTCAGTTTGCTTATATACTCAACAAGAGCTTTTCAACTTTTTTTCATCGAGTTTTCTCAATATCTTTGGTGACCCTCAAAAATTGATAAGTGCTCCTTCGCTCCACGAACAAAACGTTCGAACATAAAAATAAGTTGACTAACCCAAAATTCATGCATTGCTAACAGGCAACCCCTTCTGTCACCATCAAACGAAACCCACGTTTTTGCGGGCACCTCGATGCCAAACATAAGTGAAACTTCCCGGCAAAAAGTTCACCACACACTATCTATGAAAGCAGTCGAGTCGCTCATTGAAATTAAGTACTTCTTATTTTGTTCATTATTCAATCGCGAAATGAATCGATCGGAATCCACAAATAAATATTCATTTATTGCTTTGTTTTGTGCGAATTCAGTATGTGAGGATGACTTTAATGGTAATGCACTATTCAGACGGTATGGTATGTATGTTCATGCCAATGTGCATGAGCACAGTGATTAAAATCAATATTGAACAACACATTAAAGGTTGTTACGTTATCAGTTTTCGAAAATCTTCGATCGATTCGCCGAATCGTGCATCATTGTCGTCGTCGCATATTTAATCCGATTTTTGCTCTAATTTTAGAGACACGACGTTTGCATACTTTGAATTTCTCGTTTGTTGCATTATTTTATGCAATATTATGATTAAGTGCACAAAATTTCTAACTAAATGATCATAATTTGTGCTCAAAACACATGCTCTACTTGAATGCATATAGCTAAAATGCATATAGCTAAAATGAAATTAAAAAGCAGTCAATCCTTCGAGCAGCTTCATTGAATTGTGCGAACAACACTTCACTAAAAGGGAATCAATCGAATACCCACTGAAACTATTTTATGTCTGGCAAAGAATTTACTCCTTATTCTACTCACTTTGCAGCAGGACAACAAATCTATGCAAAGGGAATGAGAAGCATTATTGAATGATAAAAAGGCAAATCAAATGTAAAATGGCACAGCAATAATCATTGTTGAGAACAATGCCTTGACAATTCAATCACTTTCACTACTAGTTCTTCAGAAGAGCGTTCAAAATTTGACTGCATAAGTACGTAAAGTGCTAGCATATGATCGAATGATCATCAATAACAACCAAGCAAGCTATCGTTTCAACGAACACATCTCCCTAGAATCACTCCCATGCGTTTCACTCCTTATTCATTCATCAATGAGCAGTTAAACGCTTATGTGCAATGCTTTATCGAATGCACTCATAGAACCAACCAAATTGTCATCAAGCACTTCAACTAATTAGTGCGTTGAACAGTGACCGTTCAGTGAGTGCAGTATATGCGCAACTACTACCGTAAGAACGAATAGAGCAACGCACAACGTTGATTCGTTGTCAAGAGTGCAAGCGAGCGATTGCCGAGAAAGTGTGACCGGATGAAACGACGAATGAGGTTCCTTTCTCTTTCTCTTTTGCGTTCTCTTCTCTGGACCAACAACACTTGTTTCATAGCGAGTTCAAGCTTTGCTCAGTTCGTGAAGTGATTCAATGAGAAGCCGATTATTCCTCATTTGATGTGGGTCGAATTTGTAAATGAAACGAATCATGAAAAACACAGACGTCATCTTATGACCAAAACAATTTTTAGCATTCATCGGCACGAATCGAATTTTTGAAGATAACATTTCAATGGATATTTTGCAGTTAGAGTAAGACAATCAATCCCTTGAAAGATCGAAGAAAGACATGACATGTTGGAGTGCAATGAAGTAGTGGATTTTGTGAGTGGACTGTCAGAAGAACAGCTGCATGGCAGTGAAATAAGAGTAAGAGCGGCTCGTCAGCATAAAAGATACATAAATAAGAGTGTACGATCAACGAGATGAACGAACCGAAACGAAACCGCAAAACGCATTCTTCATCACTCGAAGATTTATTTTTGACATGTGCCAACCACAACGTACACAAACAACCAACCCCAAACCGCAAACTCTGAGCTGAAGAACCATTCTGGTAGAAGTTCATGTCATTTTCTGTCAGAATGATTCAATTCAGTTCACAAATCAATGAGCTGAATTCAGTTCTTAGCTGCTTGCGATGTTTTGAAAACCTGACGTAAAGAATGAGGAAGAGTGAACACTTCACGAGACTTGTTGTTGGCGACGACCAGCTAATGAGCTAAGTTGCTTTTTTTCATCAGCAGACCCGGTCAGTAAAAGAAGTGTTCTTATCATGATTTCTAACAACCAACAACTACAGCTATGAACATCTACTTTTTGTAAGCTCAATCTATAAAATACAATACTCTTTCAAAAAATAAATTGCAATTTTCGATCATCATATTTCATATGCCTATCGAATAATCCGCTATTGCTCTTCTGTCATCGCTCACATCGATGACAGCTTCCAGCACAGCAGTATCAGCATCAGTTGAGGCACGAGCAAGTATCATCCACCCATTCAATATCCCTTTCAGATCTCATCAATCTTACCAATATTTAATCCTCCATCAGAAACAAATTCAACAAAATCCATCCATCCCTTCCTTATTTCTCAATTTCATTTCCCATCTCATTCAAACACACCACTATCGTTAGCCAGTTGTCTTAATACAAATATGCATTCTTCTTCTCTCTATTAGATCTTCCCGCACTTCTTCATTTCTCGTAAATTATGTCGTCTGAATAATAACTAAAACAAAAGAGAAGACTTATTATTTATGATGGTGCATGAAATTATGCATATGCAACTGTTGCTGATACATTCACAGAGACTGCAGAAAATTTACAAGTAAATAGTATAAGAACGAAGTGAGACAGGTAGGAGGCCAGATAATGAAAGTAGCCAGTTATGGATTATCAAACGAAATGTAATATCAGCATCATGAGTCAGTGCAGTTTGGAGCTTATTCTGATTTTATCGAGATATTCTTTTGATCGGGTGTATAATAAACAGTGAATTGGTTACTCAAATCCTACGGCAGTTAAACGACTGTTTGCTTGTGTATGATTATCAACAGTAAACAAAAATGTGCAAGCAGCCTGAAAGGCCTGAAACTGTAGTTAATGCTTATGGCTAGGTCACGGACAGGTTGCAATCTCATTTGAAAACAGATTTTGTAAAGCATTACAAAGAAGATGGATGAATGGTGTGGCTGAACAAATTTCATTTCATGGGTTCAGATCTATTTGACTGAATAATCAGTGCTCTAACGGATGAGTGCAGAGTTGGTTGGTTGGTCGCTTGAAGCGACGCTCGAACGGATGGCCACCCAAGGTTGTTGATGTTGGTAAACGTCAAATGGCTGTAGAGGAGGAGCGGCGGCAAAAAACTAATAAAATTACATTTTAAAGTATTATTATTTCTGAAGACCGTGTAGACGACACCGCGCCAACACACCAAATGAGCCGTGTGCAGATGGCAGAACTCATCCGTTCGATTCTTTTTAGTATCATCATCATCATCCTACCTACCGCAATCCAACTACTTCCGTTCCATCATTCAAAAATTTGAATCATTGCATCGCGCCACTTTATCCTTTCAAGTATAATTACATCTCATGCACTCGTTCATTCATTACCAATATTTAAATACCTCCGATGATCGTTCGTTTCGCTACGGCACTCAGAAATGGTGAGATGATAAAGTGCGACAATTAGGTAACATATCGATGTAAACCAGCAAGGTCAATCGCACGGAATACTTCTTTGAAGAAGGATAAATGAGAAATGCGAATTTTGATCCTAAAAATGTCCAGAATTGAAAGCTAACAAATCTGAAACATCATTACAAAAAATAAATTAGATTGGATAACCGCTTGTATGGAGATGAAATGATTCATTTATTAAGAAATGGACAGGCAGCAGCATATTTATGATGATTCATTTTATGAAATAAATATCAAGATTTAGAACTGGTTCAAGAAAATGAACTTTCGATCAAATGGGTTCAGTACGC